TCAATTATATGAAGAAAGTTGGAAGATCTTTAACAAAGGCAGAGTTCATGCTTGTCCGACCGGAATATCTCTGTATTTTGTTAAATTGTCAAAAAAACCGGAAGCTCTCGAAACGACGAATAAAGTATATTTGGGTTAATCCGTTGCTGTGCTATACAAATGACCTTCGTAAAGTGCGTGAGTTCTTAGCAGTTCTGCATCTGTCAAGCAGGAATTTTCTGTCCGCTCTGAGATGACTTTCAAGGAGAGTATAGGACTGAACTATATCCATACAATAAAAAAAGCAACCCAAACAATGATAAATGCATGATCAAAGCATGATAATCACGCACATTTCCATCTATTGGGTAAAATAAATATTCCTTCTCACACTGGTCAATCAGATTTAACTGCAATCGGCCGGTGGAATTTATTGTTACAGTGATCGGAGTGGTAAGTTACGTTTTAACGCATGTGGTGTGTAGATATACGGTATTTTAAAGTTTGAAATTTTCAAAATATCAAGTAGTGATACGGCTGAAAAGACTGATAATTTGTGTTCCTACACTTCATCTAAAAAAAATTTCTATACCCAGCCACACATTAAAAAAATTACTACTTATACTGACTTGTGCACATTGCCAACTGCACAAATCAATTCGATGCAGAGTACAACAGACTGTTGGTTGACCCTGGAAATCACAGCATTCTGGAAATGACCTCTGACTTTATGCCTCTAACTGTCAACTACGAACTGCCTTATAAAGTACTGTTCCCGAGTAGAGAGGACTGGATCCTCCAGGGGAAATAAATATTGAGAGCAGATAGATGGATCAAAAACACCTGGTGCAGGTGTTTCCAGGACAGAGATATCAATCTGCTAAGGACCTATGCGGAAATTTACGCTATTGAATTGTTTGCGGAGAGATTGAAAAAATTCTCGGACAGTCAAGCGGCGTTGAAAGCTCTTGGCTCCTACCTAGCAACGTCTTAATTGGTAGCAAATTGCCAAAAACGACTGACTTAACAGATTATCTCTGGTCTGGATTCCTGGTTATACCAGCCTGGATGGCAATGAGGCTGGCTGACTCTTCCCTTGCAAAGAAGGGTGCTGCAAGCAGCTTCATGGGGTCAGAACCTGTCATGGCACCTGGATGGCAAGAAGATTTATGGACTTCTGGCAGAATCACTCCAAGGCGTTTAATCACCCTTCGAAACCTGATTGAGTTGTTGGACTACAGTAGGGTTGAACTACGATGTTCAACAGGACTTCTTACAGGTCACTGTCATTTGAATCATCATATGCAGAGACTCGGACTGTCGGAAGACAGCGTGTGTCGTCTCTGTTTGGAAAATGATGAAACAGCAGAGCATATACTTTGTTCCAGCCCCGCTGGGGTACTCTTATCATCTGGAATTTTACCAAAATGATAAAAGGCGGAAGAGTCTTGAGTTTTCCTTCCAACAAATAAGCAAAATTGATATACAAAAAATCATAATCACTATAAAAAGCAATGCTCAAGGCTCCGATGGCATAAATATCAGATTATTGATTATGTGTTGTCATTTCATAGTACCTTACATAACACACATTCTGAGAGCTTTGAAACGGAAATATTTGAACGAAATCTAATGTACACCCATTGTCAATAAGAATGGTGGTTCGTAACATTACTACCTTCTTTTTTCTAACCGTTTATAATTACGTCTAATATACTATTGTGTCAATTATATATTTAGTACTTTCACTCAACAATTTGTAAATAGTTTTGAATATTTTTCTCTGTTATTTTTTGTGACGATTTTTTTTCGTTTTTTTTGCATTACATATGTGCATGTGTCTATATGGGTACATATATATGTAAATGTATTGTGTATACATGTATATATAGTTCTTTTTTTTTTGGCCTAAGATGAAAAACAGAGTTTGCATCTTTTGATGCAACCAACTGATCTTCTGCCTTTCCCGTTTCAGTAAATATTCTCATTTATTTATTGTATCATTATGGGAATAAAGACCGATTATTATTATTATTATCTGGCCTAAAGACCACTCACCATACAAACTCATCGGCTTCGTTGAGAATCTGGGTTTATTTGCTCGAGTGTGAATTGGTGTGACCCACAATAAACCCTTGCGGGTTGCGGTGGAGGATTGAATAGACCCACTCACTTTGGACTTAATCTAGTGCGACTCTGTACAAGAAGCCTTGTCTGGGAGATCACATGTACTATGCATGATAATATTTTGGAGCACTCTGTTGCTTGTTTGGATAGAGTATAGGCTACTTCTAAGACCAATTCCCATGCTTTTTTAGGGGGGTTAATTCTGGTAATTCACGATCCGTTCAAGGTCATTCGAGCGTGGACCTGTGCACGATCGCGAGCTGAGACTATAAGGGGTGAGATAATGAAGTCTGACTATAGAGTGGGTCATATGGAATAGGATACAAGGCGAAATCGCGAAATCAATGGCCTTGAACGGATCGTAAATGACCAGAGTGAACCTCCATAAGAAAAAGCATTTGAATTGGACCTAGAAGCGGCCTAGTGTCTTCACTAAGGAGATATCGAACTAATGTAAGGGGCCATGTTCATGTTCGATTGAATTTTCATATTCAGTGCATATTGTTTCAGTGCATATTGTGAAGATTGTGTATGCACCTAGTCATGCGGAGACTGTCAAGTTCATTAGGATCCGTTGTCACTTCAAAATCGGACAAATTGACAGACATTTATTCTACACCAGAGGTTCCAGTTCTACCTGTATATACAGTTTCGGTCGAAAAGTTGTATTTCGAGTGATATCGATTTGAAGACAATTTAATCGGAAATACTGAATTTTCCCTAAACAATTTCGAACGTCATTCAACAATAACGGATTGGACGATTTCCCAGGGTGTTGGAATCAAAATCATTCAATACCTATCACTGTCAAAACTGTTGATGTAGAATTCAAGTTGTTTTTATTCGCATCAAAAGGATCTAAAAAAATCCGTTATTGCTTAATTGTGACAATGAAAATTTGCTAATAGTTTGATGAAATGAAAATTAATTTCAGTGTAAATGTTTAAAATGAGTACCAGTTGTATGGTTTTTGTTCAGGAAATAATTAATTTTGTGAAATTAATTTCAATTATTAGATTTACCTGACTATTACATGAGGACACATTGTAAAATTAATTTAAGACTAGTAATAAGGCAATAATGTGAAATTAATTTAAGACACTTAAGACACAGGTACCTAGAATAGATATCTATGGTATAAATAAGGATAAGTTTGTAAGTATGATTAGTTTGATCTTCCTCTTGAAGATGATCACTTGGTGATCGAAACACGTGTCGAGGTCTTAAAATAACGGTTTGGTGTTGGGAAAAAACTCCAGTAATATAGAAAGGATATTACCCGTTATAACTCCAGCAAATTCAATGGGACATCTCAATGAAAGGAGAGGACAAATACCTGCCCAAGCCCTAATTAATGAACCATCAACAACAATGGCAAATTCACTAAGGCCATCTAACTGTATAAAAGAACAAACAAGAAGATAAAACGTTCACTTTGAGTAAGATGCGCTCGCATATAATAAGTAAAAGTTATCAAAGCATCAAATCCAGCAGACAACTGTTTCTGCCTATTGGGCATCGTCAGTACCAAGCAGGCGGTCCTCGATTGAAGAAAAAATGTGAATAACCAAGAAGAGCACTTAATAAAAATAACTGCGTAAACGCTAGCGAGACATAAGTGGAACCACCTATTAGTGACCTGAATGGTACTTATCTATTTATCTTTTGATTTTCATAGAATTACTTTCCAGCAGCTTGAGACTGCGTTAACTTTTCTCGATTTCATATAATTTCTGGAAACATGTGGATTCGTTGGCATTCCAGGTTGCTACCCAAGTTTCTGCTACCGCACTTGTCGGTTGATCAGTGAATTCACCAATTCTGACATAAAAAACTTGGCAAGTTGACTTGGGTAGCACACCAATTGGTGGTTCCACTTAAGTCTTGCTTACCTTTGTGCAGTTATTTTTATCAAGTACTTTTCTTGGCATGTTTCTTGCGAAACAATGTTTTTCAATAAGTTTGACTATCCATTAATCGCAACAAAAAATAGATCTTGTTTTCAATTGTGAATCTATAAATGAACTTATACTTAATCAATACGTTGATTGATTTTGACAGTATTAATTGCCAGTTACCGGTTTTTTAAATTTATGCGTTGGTTGAGTGTATTTCAATATCAAATTCATTATCATTTGAAATGTTTCAAATAGAAAGCACTTTTCGAATTTAATATAAACATTATAAAGATTGTATGCAAAAGAAAAGTTTCTGAATATTATACAATTCGGTTTTATCAGTTGAGTTTTTGAATTTATTGAACAAATCTCAAAATGAACTTCTATAGACTATACACCGTTGCTGGAACACTAAAAAAGTTATCGAACGGTTATATTTGTTATGAATAATATTTGTCATATCATAAACAATGAAGTATATGTATATGATCAGTTGTCCTATTTTCGGAAAAAAAAATAAAAACAGCTAAATAATGCAAGTTTCGGACGAGAAAGTGTGCATACTGATAATTCACCTCGAAACTACTGCGAAAGATCTTGTGGCTCTTGTCCAAAAATGTATATTGGCCAAACAGGGAAAACATTTTCCCAAAGAATTAAAGAACACAAAAATAGTTTTGTAAACAGAATGACCACGATTTGCAAACTCCTTTTTAGCAGAAGGACATAAGTTCAATCATGAATACGATGTGTTACATTTAAAAGAGAATAGTTTGAAACTCAATCTTCTAGAATGTTTAGAAATCAATAGATTCAGGAATTTGAACAATAAAGTGTTTTTTGAATACGTTCGAAATAAATTTCCCAAAATCAAATTCCGAAACGAAAACCTTCAAAAATCAGAAAATGAGGATCCACACACACGTGTCACTGATCTAGATCACTGTCACCAAAAACGGTTTTTTCGAAATAATCACCAATCACGGCACTTCTTACCTGGCCAAAAAGTATTGCAGAAAAATCCAATCTGGCAGTGAGCACCAACTAACTAAAAACTAGCGGATTCTTCTCGCGATATCCTCTTTTATATGCAGACACAGAGGATGGATGCGACTGTGATCAGTCAAATAAGTTTCAACACTTTCTTCTATGCGCATCCTCTTGCTAATACACTGGCCTAGTGTAGTGGAGAGAGTGTGTGTGACTTATGGGGGTTTGCGTTTTGGAAAAATGGTTTTCCAGTCTAAGCCGAAAATGTCACAGAAGATTATGCGGTCGATGCGGTTCAAGTAATGTATCTGCTGCCATAAAGACGATTTGAAGAAACTATCTAGTGAAATGTATTTGCATTAAATTATATTGGGAATATTGCAGAATTATCTATAAGAGCAGGTTTATGGTTTTGAAGCCTACAAAGCATCCAAAATATTATAAAAAATCAGTAGGAAGTGTTCTAGAATAGTCAATGATTGAGCCAAAACTATTACGTTGTGTTTCAAAGTAAACTGTTCCCTGGAAATGATACAATGAGATGAAAAACTTCTCAGTCAGAAGATATCTGATAATTTTCAGAAACTACCTAGGTATTTGCATTCAATTATGCCAGTATTGATGGAGCATTATTTATTGAAGCATTTTTAAACTTGTCAAGTCTATGAATTACACAAAATATTCAAAATTTCTTATATTTTCTGATGATCTCAAACTTTATCGAACAATTACTTGCCGGGAAGATGCTGAATTAGTTCAAAAAGATCTCGAAGCCTATTCCATGTAGTGTAGAAATAATGTGTTAGAGGTAAACATTGATAAGTGTCAAATCATTACGTTCGCTAAAATTAGAAGTCCAATATTCTTTGAATATACATTGAATAATGTAGCTCTTAAAAGAGAAACATTTATTCGCGATGTGGGAGTTAAATTGGATAGCGAAATTAATTTTAATCTTCAAGTATAAAAAATTGTAGCAAAAATTCTTAAAATTCTACAGTTTTCGAAGATTTTCTTCACCTTAACATTTTCTTTGTAAGTACTAGATTTGTTACATCTTCTTTCTTGTAGGTATCAGAATTGATTCATCTTTTAATAATATATTTACTAGACATATCTATTAATATTTTGTACTTCACACTTCGCTAAATGTAAATTGTAATGTAGACATCAGACATGAACATTCAAAACTGCTTTGTAGTTCCTNATGATTTACGCAATCGAAGGCTTTTGAAAAGTCACACAAAACACTGCTATTATAGTTTCCTCGTTGTTGAGCATGCTCAGGAAAATTAAATATTGCATCAATGGTGCCTTTTGAACTTTGAAAACCAATTTGGGTGTATTATCCAGTATTATCTTGGTCGAGGATTGAATTCAATGGTAAACATTTTTTTTTTGAGGTTAGGTTTCATCTCTCGTATCTTTCATCCTTGTTATGTTACCTTTCAGTGAGCACAGTTTTCCTTCAAGTTTTAACTGTACGTAACTTATTGCATCATCGCCATAAGATGCACTGGATGACCTTAAATAAATGAATCAATGTATAAGTGTGTAGTAAGTGGGTAGTTTTGGAAATATAAGTTCGAGGGAATAACCTCTAATATTGAAGTGCAAGTGTGACAAAAATATATCGGTCAGAATAAGTCAGCTATTCAAATTCGTTTCAAGGAACACACAGCACATATGTGATTTCGGAGACCAGAAAAGTCTGGAGTCGCTCAACGATCATAAAATAAATGAATCAGCATGACTCTAGACTCAAGGACAAAGCAAAGTGTGGCATAAGGACCGATATCATTGATGTATGTTTGAAAGTGAAAGTGCGCACTATTAAATGTAAATAGTGACCAGTCTTGGAGTTACGAATTAGTCTACTTTATCCCCTGAAGACGCCAAATGAGGTGGTGAAACGCCCGTTGGGAAGAGTCTTGCAGTGCTAGAGTATGGGAACAGTATTTTTTTGAATTTATTCTGCGTCAGAGGTTTCAGGTCTATCTTCCAAAAAAGTTGGCTGAGAATGTGTTAAAATATCCGTGTGTTGTTCCTAAAATCCTCACCCTGTATCTGATACCACATAAAGCAATAGTACAATCTTTCAAGAAATGACACGTTCAAATGCAAATACGAGCTCATCAAAGTCATCAGTGTAATGATCAATTTGAAATTCACGGCATGATAATCAAACACAATCCAACCTGCTCAAAACATCATCGAAGATTGATGATCACCGCTATCTACTAGTAATAAAATAACTCAAATGGTAATCTTCAGATGGGTATCAAAAGGAAGTAGCTCGTCCATTACAAGGTTCCATAACAGAGGGGATAGAACCCCCTCCCCTGAGGACAGCCCCTTGCTACCCGTGCCACGACTGTTTCCCCCTTAATGGTTGTATATACCAATCTTCCCCTAAGTATGCAGTCTATCCACCTACAGCTTGTCTTGTCGATTCCTCTTCTCCTCGACGCCTGGATGATTGATTCTAACGACGTATGATCAAATGCGCCCTCAATGTCCAAGAAAGCAGCTAAAAGTACTTCCTTGTTTTTGTAAGTATTTTCTACTTTTTCTGTTACCCGACATACAGCCGTATCTGTTAACATACCTGACCTGTATGCATATTGGTCTCGATGTAATGGTCTGGTCCGAACCCGATATAATAATGACAGTTTGTTTGGGGGGACCAATATGTTTTGGCACAATCATGTAGCTGGAATTGCAAAGTCTGCTTCTCAAAAACTTGGACCACTGTTCCGAACCAGAAAACTATACACAACTCAGCAACTTTTGACACTTCATAAAGCTCAGATTAGACACGAACATCACTTGAAACCTTGATAGTCTGGAACATCGAAGAAAGGATGGAGATTTGTCTCTCTTTTATAAATACTTTCACGAAAGGTGTTCAAGTGCCCTTGCACATTTGATTCCACCAAGAGCAGTACATATCAGAAATATGTGACGGTCTGTGGCTATCATCATCTCGAGGTTCAACTCAGTACACCTCGAACTTCGCTGTTTGAGAACTCTTTCAACTGCGTTTATTTGAAATAAACTTCCTGAGAAATGCAGCTGAGGTCTCCGTTGTACAGCCCCATTTTATTCAGGTGTCCTCTAAGCGGACAATGACGGGTTAGTAACCCTGTAATTATTCTGAGCCGATCCCTACTATATTGAAGTAGTTCTTCAGTTCTTTTCTAGGACGGCTCCCTAATGAGGGTTCTACTGTGTTTGTTGCCAGGTAATTTTATCCACTACTCTGTGTGCTTCTTATTGGTTCATGTCCATTAGTCCAGGTTTCGTATCAATGATTTTGGTACCCCCAGAGCTGCGCGTCTAGCGCATTCATCAGCTTTATCATTACCTGTGATTCCTGAATGCCCTGGCACCCAGTACAAAGTTAATTTGTTCCTGTTTGCAAGTTCATTCAGTCTTCATGACATTCCCAGACCAGTTTTGATGTCACCTTCGGGTTTGTCAGAGTCCCTAGTGCGCTCTTGCTGTCTGTAAAAATATTGATCCGCTATACACTTCCGCCTGAAAGGAGGATGTGTATAGTCCTAGCGGATAGCAGTAGTTTCGATTTCTATCCGCTCGGTATATTCCAGCTCCCGTTCCATGTTTGGTATTCGATCAATCTGTGTATCAGGTGTTTTTTACAAACATATTTTCGGGATGACTAATGGTCTTCCACTCTTCACGGTTTATGATTTTGTCCGTGAAGTTTGTGTTGAAGGTGTACTTCGGTGTCATGTGGTCCGTGCACATATTCAATATGTGCTCCTCCACTTGTTCCGAAATTTCTGTTCGGTCCGATCTTTTGTAGTTCAGTGAGTTTTCCAGTCTGAATTGGCCCATCCTGGCCTCCCCCATTATCACAAAGTGTGAAGGAGGTAGATTCAAGAGTGTCTCTAATGCAGCTGCTGGAGTAGTTCTCATTGCTCCCGTCATTCCAAAACATGCAAGTCTTTGCACCTTGCCTAGTTTGTTGAAGGCGGTCGCCTGCTTCATCTTTGGCCACCAGACCAGAGATGCGTATGTAATCATGGGTTTAACCACCATCGTGTATAGCCAATATACCATGTCTGGTTTTAGCCCCCAATTTTTCCCATAGGTGGGTCTGACAAGCATCAGTGCTACCTCCGCTTTCCTCTTTATCCTGTCCAAGTGTAGGATTACTCCCAGATATTTAACCTCCCCCGACACTTGTATTTCTTCACCTCGAAGTTTTAGAGATCCGAGACCCTCCGTTTTAGTCCTCTTGGTGAATGCTTCTATGGTCGATTTGGATAGGCTTATGTTAAGCCCTTCTTCGGTCCATCTTGTTATAATGTTCAGGGTCTGCTGCATGCATTCCTTCACTACATTATTGTATTTACCCTGGACTAAGAGGACTAAGTCGTCTGCATAGCCCAGTGCTTTATACCCATTACGGTCCAAGAGACATAGTAGCTCGTCCATTACAAGGTTCCATAACAGAGGGGATAGAACCCCCTCCCCTGAGGACAGCCCCTTGCTACCCGTGCCACGACTGTTTCCCCCATAATGGTTGCATATACCAATCTTCCCCTAAGCATGCAATCTATCCACCTACAGCTTGTCTTGTCGATTCCTCTTCTCCTCGACGCCTGGATGATTGATTCTAACGACGTATTATCAAATGCGCCCTCAATATCCAAAAAAGCAGCTAAAAGTCCTTCCTTGTTTTTGTAAGTATTTTCTACTTTTTCTGTTACCCGACATAGAGCCGTTTCTGTTGACATACCTGACCTGTATGCATATTTGTCTCGATGTAATGGTCTGGTCCGAACCCGATATAATAATGACAGTTTGTTGGGGGTTGGGGGGACCAATATGTCTTGGCACAATCATGTCGCTGGAACTTCACTGTTTGAGAACTCTTTCAACTGCGTTTATTTGAAATAAACTTCCTGAGAATTTTCAAATGATATTAATCTCCAGCGATTCAAATCTAACGTGAGTCGCTACTTTCGCAGAGGCACCGATCTTAGAGTGCCTTAAGGATTTTCCTGTACTGCTTGTGTT